ATAATAAGTATTTAATAGAGCAAATTCATATTAATTAGCAGCTAAAGAAGGTTATTAACTTTATATGATAAATATTCAAGATGGAAAGTAAAATAGAAAAAAAAACAAGGATGGAGTTTCTGTTTTATTTAATTAGAGAGAGAATAGAAAATTTCACAGTTATTGATAAAAAAAGAACTTTATTGTTCTATTCTTTCTTTCCTCTTTCTTTTCTTTCTTTCATTCTTTTTTCTCTTCTCTAAACCCTTTGATCTTTTAAATTTCAATCAATATAGCATATAATAAAATGTATTAACACATACATTGATAAGATACAACAATATAAATGATATTATAAAAGGCGCCCACCTTGTCATTTTTGTCGCCTAAGTGGGCACTTAGTCACCTAGGCGGGTGCCTAGTTGCTAAAAGTCAAGGCATTTGGGCGAGGCGCCCAGCCAAGGGCGCCTAGTCGCCTAGGCAATGCCTTGAAAACTATGGATCCGACTCTTAACCTGGGCTGATCTAGACAGCGAAATTATGGGAGCTTGTGTGGAAATTATAACATCAAGAAACAATAAACCAGAAACATAAAGAAGGAAATAAGGAGACATAAGATATAGGCAGCATGGTACCATTGTACAATCCAAAATAATAAAAAGAAAAAGATAAATGTGGTTCGGCTTGGTAGTCCACCACATGAGGAGATAAACCCTTCACTATGGAAGAAAATAGGAGAGTGCAAGGTGACTTGGAAAACCTTAACCCATATTGATCATAGACCCATCTACCTCACTAAAGTTTCTTTCTTACTCTAACCAATTCAGCAGATAGCTTATATAGCCTCTTTTCTGCTAAACTAAAATACTAAGCTAGGGGATAAAAAGGAAAATGTTAAATATGTCCTCAAGAATTGGTGGCATGTCAGACTCTGGTACACGTCCAACAACAGACATTCGTCCATTTAGAAGAGTCCCTGCAACTCTAATTCCTGATAATATAATATATTGAAATTTAAAATAAATACTATTTTTCTTTTCATTATGGTTTTGAAAAAATTGATCTTTTCTTGGGATGAAAGCAAGCCTCCGCTTCTTCCCTAATATATATGGGATTCCTCAAATGGAATGTATGGTGTTCTTGCTCAAATGGCTAGATGGTTGGCACTTATCAAAAATAAAGACCAGATGTTTGACACCCTTGGACTTGGCAGGATTGCACTTGCTACCTGGATGAAGCAAGGATTAATGCTTAGACATTGATTTATATCAGTTTTAGGCATCCAGYATGTGGAGATGGGAAATGATATTCAGGTGGTTTTCAGCTGGCTCAGAGATGTTGGTGAGGAGTTGCTAAAGATCCCATTGGGCATGCTAAAGCTGTAGCAGCAAATGTGAATATTTTGTTCAGGTGGATCCAGAGAACAGCTGCTCTTGAATTTTGTAGAAACATGCTTGCTATTTAGGTATGAACATTACTGTGGAGACTTAGATTTATGCCAGTTTTTGGAGTCCATCATGTGGGAGGAGACTCAGATGGTTATTTGTTGGACAGAAGATGGTTGTGAAAGCCAGTGGACATTTGTGAAGTAAGCGAAAACTCTAGCACCATTTTGAAAATTCATTCAGTTGGGTCCAAAGAAGTGGTGGGGAGGCTGGAGCTGTACTTGGGCTTATCACCCAGCATGGCTGCTTTTTGTTTTTTTTTTTTTTTTCTGATATAGTTTCCATTTGTGCTGGTTAGGAGTTGGGTTTTTGTGAGAAGCTTTGTGTCTAGCTTGACATGATTCTCAAGATGACTGTATGTTCAATCATTTAGTTATACTGATTATTAATAAATCTCTTTTGATCTCATTGATGATAAAAAAATAACAGGAATGCTCACTGTAAGTAGCATCCATAGATAATCATCCATAACTCACAAGGCTTGTAGGTTTTTTTTTCCAAATAGTCAACCAAAACCATCCAGAAACTGGAACTGTTTTTCRAAGAGTAAAAAAGAAAAGAAAACATTCATTAAAATAAAAAAGTCTCAATACAATCATCAGAGGGTGATGAGGAAGCACCCGGATTGCGAAAATCCAAAATATCAAAGAAACAACAGCTAAAGAAAGAAATAGCAAATACTCCATAGACCTCAAAAGAAAGCAAGCGATTCAATCTCCACAAAAACATGCTAACAGAGGCATGCTAACCCACGCTTCTCCCCAAAAAACATTAACCATCTCTTTCAAACACTTCTTCCTGTTCATCTCCATCCTCCTTCYTCGTCTCTCCTCCTACCCCTACGATAATCTTCTTCAGCCTCTCTTCCCTCTTGCTTTTCTCAAAAGCCTCAATATCTTTCCTAGCAAACTCTTCTCTGCCCCAAAAGAACAATCCTAAACTCTTTCCATTTCCAACGTCTCTATCAGCCAGGTTCTCAATCTCCAGCACTGCTCCCTTTACCTCCTTGGTGCCTGATAGAATTTCCTCGGTCTTCTTTTCTACAGCAACTCCACCATCCTTTTCCTCCTCCTTTAACCCAGCAATTGGCTTTAGAACTTCCTCGGACGCCTCCAACAATTGGGTCACCGCCCCTACTGAACTTTGGAACTTTGCATATGTCTTCTTCCCCTCCACCTTYTTTGAACCCTTATATTGTATTATCTTTTCTTTTGTGTGTATATGTGTACAGGTTTTTCAATTGGACAGTGTAGTCTTCTGATCTGGCCTGAGGTGTTAGATAAGTAAAAAGGAGAAGAGGTGAAAGTGGAGAAAATAGAGAATAGAAGAAAGAGAGATTATAGTCTTCAAAATCCTAGTCCCATTGACCTAAACTCTCTTTTATACACACAAACACACACTTAAGTTTCATGGACCAAAGCTTAAAATAAATAAAAATTATCTTTGTACCCCTAATTAGTAACTTTCTAAAGTGACCATTACTTCCCATATTTACATGCCATACAGAATTAGATGCTTTCTTTGACTCTCTTAATCAAGCTGGTAAGTATGCCATATAGTCCCAGCTTGTAACAAATGAAGTCAACCTGAGGTCAATTTAAGGCCTTTGTGAACAATTAGCAAATTGATTTTCTCAGGTAACATAGAGTGTAGTAATATCTTTACCTCAACAATCTTTCCCAAACAAGATGGCAATTGACTTTGATGTGTTTAGTCCTCCCATTCAATACACAGCTTCAACACCTGACTGTGCTATTACACTTTGTCTCTTACTTTTCCAGGTAACCAAACTACCCTAGGAAAGTACAATGTCCTGTAGTAGACAGCCTTCTAAAGGTGAACCAGCCCAATCAGTATCAATAAACCTAAAATGTAGAATAAATAAAAGTTACTACTATATCTCTAATTAGTAACTTTCTAAAGTAACCATGTTACCCATATTTACACGCTACAGAGAATAGACCCTTTCTTTAACAGACAGGAACATGGCCATGCAATTCAGTGATCACTGTTGCATAAATGTAATGGCTAGGATTGCCAAAAACACTTGTTTCAATTTTGTGGTCAACCCAAGGGATGGCCAATAATTGGATTCACATAGGTGATAGTTATTGTCTCGCAAGTTTGTGTACTGACTGTAATGTGTAAAGTTGATACTGCCAGATTAGCATTCTTCTAATCATTAATTCCCTGTGTAGGCCAATTTGCCGAAGGAAATTGCAGATTACTTGAATAAGATGGGTGCAAGGATACCAAACATAAAGCCTGGGAAGGCCACAGTCGAGTATTTAACAAAGATTCAGGCATCCACACGTTTTTGGGGTATGTTATCTTTGAAGATATGATTATGAGAACATTGTCTAGCTCCAATCATATTTACGATTAGCACAAAACATATTAAATTGCTCTGGTTTTGCTGATTACTTGGAAAGTAATGCAGGTGGTTTATTGTTAAGCATTTTGGCCACTTCATCAACCTTGCTTGATCATCATCTACGGCGTATCAATGAGGGATTTGCAATAGGCTTCACATCAGTCTTAATTATTGTAAGTACCTTAACAACAATAGGACAGTAAGGCTGTTGCATGTACTGTAAGTCAGGAGACCATTACAATCCCTGAGCCTGAAAAACACTTGAATGAATTATTTTTACATATATTCACCCAGTTCAAAAGCATCTCTTAGCACCTAACTTCTTATGCTTCTCAGTTTTCTGTTTAGATTTGAACTTTCTTTTCTGTTCATGGTCTTCTATTTTTGTGTTATACATGTACAAAGGGAAATTCATAAACACGACAGAAAGTAATATGCTTCCCATTTGATTGAGAAGATAACTTGGAGTAGCCTAAATAATTCCAGAAAACAAGTCTCATCTTTGACATGAAGTCGACAATGAAATACAGGGCGGGAATTTTATTCAATGTTTACTTTGGATTAGAAGCCATCAGCCATGTTTGGATATTTCTCTTCCATAATTTGAAATGGTATAGTGATGATTTTATCTAGTGATGTGGATATCATAGTCTGCATACTTTTCTTTAGTTATTGCTACAAATGTCGCAGTAGCCAACTTTGTAAGTCTTCAAAGACTCGGTTAACATTTACAAAAAAAAAAAAAGTTGGAATCTTAAAGAGCTTATTTTCTCCAAAATAGAAATTGAAACCTCTTTGAGAAGTACAATACCCTGGAATGCAGTATTGATGATTTAATGTGTATATTTTCTTTTTTAATTGATAACAGATTAAAGAGAATTTTATTACTGATGAAAAGAGATGACCAAAAAGGGAAAAGAAAAAAAAATTGCTAATCTGAGATAGCTAGAAAGGCCCAAGAGCATACAGCAAACCCACAAAGAATAAACCAAATTACAATTGTCTACCCCCAGTGCATATCTGCTATAATGGCTTCTTCCCTAGCTACTGTCTCTTAGATTCTTCTGTCATAATAGGAAGAAATGACTTTCTACATGGTGAACAGGTTTTCACTTAGCAGATATGAGAAATGCATTGATTAAAATTGCATATTATATGCACCCCTGTACAAATATGCTGATATTTCTTGTCCACCTCCATCTTATGTTATAGTGGATAATGTGATGACCTATTTTCATGATTATTATTTTGAAATGGTAAAATGTTGAGGGCCCGGGAATAGGATCTCGTCACGGGTCGGTCCACGGGGAAAACCTCCTGTTTTCCCTTGTTCCTTCCTGCTC